CGTTGAAGAATGTACATATTTAAGTCAAATGTGATGTTTGATTTAAATACAAATATTCTTTATCGAAAGAAATAAAGACAAACAAAATTAATTTAGTCAAATGAGCAATTTTTTCTTATTGTGTTACAATGAAATTGCAAGTTAAATGAATTTATTATTTGAACCGATCTTGATAAACTCAAGAATTCCATGTCTTTTATATTAAGTTAATACTGCAAGCGAAAAGTGCGAAGTTTCCTACATAACGCCGAGCACAGCAAGAGAACTGCATTACTTTGCGATATGCAAGCCCTTATGAAAGTTGAAGAGCGTAATTTCGAAAAGTGTATCTCCTTAAATCAAGTCGCCTAAAGTGATACAGTACCGAAGTTTTAGTTGGCGATAATTAATGTAAGAAGTCGTGCGCCATCACAAATCGCTCGTCTGAGTTTGCGGTTGGTCATCAAACTTGTTACATAAATACAAAACTTTTTTCGTTGGCGAACGCACTGTGCGCACTTGAGGCAAAGAATCTATCTTATTTTTTTATATAACGCAGATAACAACCGAGAGCGAATACAGTGTAATTAACCTGTGGCTTAACTTCGTCACGTAATTTATAACTGTCGTCTCGTCGGGTCATTCAGTAGTTGATTGTGTACGAGTCCGAGTTAATTGTGTGCACGTCAGGAGAAGAAGAGGGAGAAACACGCGGATACCTGCGTGGATACACACAAGTACTTCAGGGACATCCGTTTTAGCCTTGCGGCGGCCTTTTGTTGTTGTGGCGTGGTCCTACAGCAAAATAGCGAAAACCGCACTATCAAGGAAGACCGGTGGTGCTTGTACAAAAGTTTCGCACAAATAAATCTCCGAACGCGAGGCGCGCACAATGGGAAAACGGCGCTGAAAGGGCATTTAAGCGTGAATTATTGTTTACCGCGGACGCTTTAAGACAAAAAGGACGCTTAAAGTGGATCAGCTGTTTTCTATCGCGCTATTATCTACCTCGCCACGTCGCCGCGCAATTTCGTGGACACGAGCGACTCTTCTGGACACAATCGTGCCGCAGACAGATGAATTCCACCGCACCCACGAAATAACACCTCGTGTCATGCGTTCGCCACTGACTGAAAAGACATGCCAAATGCTCCCTAACGTCCCGAGAAATTAATCGCCATCATTGTATTTCTATCGTATACACTGCATGCCACTTTCGAGTGTTTTGCTAACTAAAGAGAATCAATCTTTTTTTCTTTACATATAATATATGCACAAAAATTACTTTAAAATATTATTAATTTTTATTTTTAATTTTTTAAATGTAAAAACATAAGAATTAACTAAACGATTCTACAGAGAATTGTCATGTCATGCTAATTATAAAAAAATAAATTATCTATTCTATATTTAATTAATATGAGTTGGATACGATTACTAAATTAAAATTGAATTTCCAAAAGTTATCAAAAAAACTGGTGTGTTAAATTTAAATTTTCGTTAATGAGAAGTTAACTCAATGAAAGAATACGTAAAAATGAAAGGTAGATCTAAGGAAATATATTTGAATAACATATGTCTCAAAGAGCAAATGTACATTAATATGGAATACATACTAATGCAAAAAGCATGAGGAAGGGCAAATTAACATCCTGAAAGCTCTTATCATGGCTGACGGTTGAAGAAGGCTTACGGAAAGCCGGTAATCCCTTATGCCTCGTTTGAGGGATAGATGCACGTTAACAGTATGTATATAATGCACTTATCTGAATAATACATTGGGCTTAAGGACTAGTACATAAAGAACTATATTATAGATACGGGATATAGATAATCCTTGTATGACATGCAAGAATTGACGTCCGTAAAATTACTGCCATCTTTTGATCGCGGCTACCAGAGATTAAGTTAAAGAAGGAAGTATTTGTTTCAATGGCATAAATCATGAAACATCCTGCATCAATTCTAATCAATCATATTTAATCTATTTAAAAGTATAACTAGTTGCGCCTTTTATTTTTATACTAAGCGAAATTATTAGCGTAAAAATAAACGTTATTAAAATATATTTAAAAAACGTTATTGTACAAAAAAGATCATTATTGTTTTTATCTCTAAAGAAGTGTCGGGGTTTTTGCAGGAAAATTTGTACTTGAGGGAAAGGAAAGATTGTCTAACTAGATATCAGAAATTAACATCGTCTTTGTGACAGGGATGTGTACAAAGCGATGATTAAGTAAGGCTAACACTCTTGTCTTACCATCATCATCATTATGACTCAAATCTAGTCATCAAATGGAAACATTCACGCATTATTTCGAGTACGGTACAGTAGAAGTCCCTTTGTGCGCCTTGCCGCGCGGTAGCGCTCGTGAAGACATGTTTTGCCTGCTAATGATTTTTACGTTGACGTTTATTAGCCGTACGCGTCTCGTGTATTTTACTGACTCGTGATAGCCGGCGCGTTGCGAATGCATTGTGGTACGGTTATTTGTTGCAAGATAAGACTGTCTATGAACTGTGCGGCGTAGAAGTGAGATACAAATTTCTCTTTATGCACGAACATACTTTAAAAGAAATTTTATTCAGAAAGATACCCTATCGCGTTTGAAACTTGTAAAGTTCACTTTCTCTGAAGCTTATATCGAATTACGAGGATTAAGTATACGCTACGCGTAATCATATCATCGTCATACCCATATCATCATCTGAATGTAATGTTAAAACATATCAAAAGTGCTTATGAAATATAAAAAAAAAATATGTACAGTTATTATTTTTTAAATTAAGTTGCACAACTTGGTTTGGAAATTTTGCGATGCGAATTTATTTATCACATATTCGATTTCTTTTACAATAGATGATCATTTTTCCGTAAAAAAAGCTATCATAATTACACGATTTTTGGGAAAAGCAGATTTAAAAAAATAAATTACTACAGTATAAAAGTTTTCCATGGAATTATTAAAAAACAAACATTTGATATTCTAGTGGAAGAAGAAAAATTAAACGTAATTATAAAAATATGTACAGTTATTATTTTTTAAATTCTATCTTGCATAACTCGGTTGGAAATTTCGCGATGCGTTTATTTATCACATATTCGATTTTTTTTTTAATAGATGATCATTTTTCTGTAAAAAAAAAGCTGCCATAATTACGCAATTTTTGGGAAAAGCAGATTTTAAAAAATTAATTAAATAATTAAAATAAATTACTTAAACATAGTATAAGTTTTAATATAATGAAATGTTTTAGTATATTAAAAAAACAAACATTTGATATTCTAGGAAGAAGGAAAATTAAACATAATTATAATTTTCATTGAAGTTCCATGATACGATTAAGAGACATTAGAATTTCTAAGGCGCGATCGTAATTGAATATACACGTTTGAAACATACAAAGCTTGCTTCCGAAGGAAGAAGCTTTCCTCCGTTGGCACGGTACACTGTCGCGAAGTAATTGGAGTTTGTAATACCATTTTCGGGTAGAAACGAACATCATTCGCTAGTCGAGTCCCGCTATAGAAACTTCGACAGACTAATCGATCGAACGATAAATCACGTTTGATTTAACGCAGAGCCACGATAAAGTAGGATGGATACTGACGTACGGATTCGTAATCGTACAAAGGCCGAGGTTAAGGAAAGGTATAATAGAAGAGCGGGAAGGGAAGGTTGTAAGCGGAAAACTCGTAATTTATCCTGTTTCCAGTCTTGATGCTGGGCATTTCCGCGACGCGCTAGCGATTTCCAAGAGCTTCGCGGAAACATGGCGACGCGAATGTCATTTCCCGACGTAAATTAAGTTTGAAATCCTGCTTATTTCAGCGTGGAGATCGATGAAAGCTGCTACTAGGTAGAGCTACAGTTTGAAACAGGAAACCAGCCGTGATTCACATTCGATACAATCACTGTTAAACTCGCTCCGTTTAAAGTCGGCACGTATGCACAATTCCCGAGAACGTAATTCTATCATTCTCGTGGAATGCTCAAATTAAATGCAGAATGCAGTGTGATCAATTTGTGTATAATTTATCTTTAAAAGACGAATTTACAATGAATTTGCTCTGAAAGCCTGCGTATTCTAAAGATTCTATCTAGTATAAAAAACACTTCAGTAACTTTTTCATCAGAATTCATGATCATAATTAATAATACGTACATAAGTATAATAAATTATTATACTTTATAATAATTTATCTTCTAATTACTATACATAGATGAACTGGACAACAAAGAATTTATTAAAATTTTCATTAATAATTATTTTCTAAATATCTTCAATATTATTGAAGATATTTAAAAAACAATATAATTAATCGAGTGATTAATTCTTCTTGCTCTCTATTTGTATCATTCGTATATAAAATTAATATAATTTTTACTTAAACGAAAAAAAGATTATTTCTTATTAAGAAAATCTTATGTAATTCTTTAAAAAAATTTATCTAATTGAATATATATAAAATAATCAAATAATAACTGACCGCATTCTTTAAGAATAAGAAATTTTATGTTGCAGGTATAGAAACGAAATTCGCCGGTTCGAGTTGTAATGATCTCGTAACTTCCGACGGAGCTGGTTCCACGATAATCAGTGGTCATTTTGATCAAAGGATCAGGTTTTGGGATACTAGAGCCGAATCCAGCTCAAATGACATTCTATTAGAAGGAAAAGTTACATCTTTAGATTTATCCCGTGGTAAATTGATTTATTTTAATAGTTTAACCAATTAAAGATTTAAACTTTTTTAAATATTAAATGGGTATACTACCAACAATCAATACAACAGCAACACAAAAGAAATTTTTATTTTGTGTTGCAAAATGAACTATGTCGTTGCAATTTTGATTATTGCAACTTATTGTATTATCCCCCCTCCCCCTCCCATAAATATATATAATATTTAATACGATCTATTTAATGCGATCTCCAATGATATTTGATATCGTTACGATATCATAATTACGTCTAATATAATATCGGAGAACAGGATTTTGATTTTATAATATGTAACTATATGGAATTTGCTTATACATATTACAATATCGATTAAGGTATGTCAAATGAAACAATTGGTTATTATCATGGTAATTATTTATATAAAATATAAAATTAAATAAAAGTATCACCGATATTATGTCACAAAGTGTGAATATTGATATGTACATTGTATTTAATTTGTATTGTTTATGTTAAAGAATATTAATTTTATTTTCAATAGAATTAAATTATAAATAATTATAATTTTCTCTCAATATTACGAAACTTTATTCATATTCTGATTAAAAGAAAGAAAGATGTTCTAAGTATAATTATAAAAATATAATTTTTATAGCTTTACATTAATATTGAAAATAGTACAAATATAAATTCAGTACAGAAAGTTTCTGACTTTATCTAGTTTGTAACTACAAATAAGCAATTATGTATAAGCTTAAATATTGGAACAAAACTATACTTCTTTGTTTAATAATTGAACATAAATCAGATTAAACTAGAATATCTTATGCGAGAGATGTAAAATGATGATGACCCAATTATTCGAACGATAGTGGAAATGTTATGAATTTTATATAGCATATAAAACGCGTACTTATATTGATAATTAAACGAGGGAAAAATATTAATTGGTATTTCACGGCAACTATACAATGTATTTCATTTATATTATAGATTTTATTCGCGCTACGCAAATAATGTTATATCGTTTTCGCTTTTTATCGCAACGTTTTAATGACATGAATGAATTGGCTCGCACGATTCTGCAGTATTCTCAAAGCACTTGTATCAGCTGCAAATGCGCCCCGTTCGTACAAGAGTACTTCATTCAGATATATTATTCTATCGCATTTCATTAATCCGCCGATATTGCCACCGGAACATGAAATAAATTCAAGTGTTGTCAAGCACTGTTGGTCCGATTTTTAACTTTTGTAGATAAGCAGATATATCGCATCTCTCTGATATTTTTTTTATTGTTCGTCGTTATATATTCATTTAAAACAGAAATGAAACAATCTCAAATGGTCAATATGATCGATATGACACGAAAGAAAATTATAAAAAAATCGTTTCAACACACGATGAATCTATACAACTTTATTACATCGTAATTAGATTTTTAACGCTTAGAATTATTGCGTCTCATTCTATAGATGCGCTTTTGCTGATGGTTTACGCGTTCGATACATAAGAGATATTTGTTCAGTTGATGTTGCAATGCCGCAAACATTCACACGCGAATAATTTAAATATTATTCAATCTTGTGCACGATTGTGAATTATAAAGGAATCTATTCGATTTCAGACGCAAATTACCTTTTGAGCTGCGTAAGGGATGACACGGTGAAACTGATTGATTTACGAATGAAGAAGATTGTCGGATCGTTCAGGTAGGTCGTGTATTTTTGTCATACATGCATAAGTAGAATGTTGAAGGTAGTAAATCGTCATATTTTAATTTTATTTTACAGCGCTGACGGTTTTAAAGTGGGATTCGATTGGACAAGAGCTGTTTTCAGTCCTGACGGACAGTACATAGCGGTTGGTTCTGCTGACGGTTCCGTTTTCATCTGGTCTATAGTGACGAATGCGATCGAAACAATACTGAAAGAGCATACGTAAGTAAAGCTAACATATTATCGTAATTAATATTTGAAAAATATTTATGTAGAATCTCTTTTTCTGTAAAAAGATAATTGACATGAAAACGATAATAAATTAAAGTAATTACACGTTATTACTTTAATGAAATAATAATTATTATATAGACATTATTAGTCGCATATATATTCAAAATGATATAAACGGATCGAACTTCAAAAGAAAATTGTAAAGTAACTCTGTTTAGTTAATCGAATTCATCTATATATGATTTATAGTTTTATTATTTTTATCCTTCTGATATTGTATATTTTTGATCGGATATTTAGGTTTCTGCCCTAGAGATAAAAAATGATCCTTTCATATTGAAATGTGCAATACCGATATTAAAGTTTATGAAAATTTAAAAAATGAGTGGAAAAAAAGATAATAAATTTTATAAGACTTTAATCGTCTATGTTTGCCAATGATGAAAAGACATATTAAAACGAGAAATTTTGTTCCCGATATTTTATCGAATATTGATTTAGAGTTAATCCGAGATATTAAAGGCAGTTTGGTTGCGCCAATCTTTCATAAAGCTCGTCGTTTTATTTTAATAATACTTAATATTGCCCTTTTTTGCAGTTTTCTTATTTTGTAATCTGACATTATTTTATGTTATTATATTAAAATCAATTATTATTTTTATCTATAACATGATCGAAAGATATTGGAATGTACAAAATTGACGTTTTTTTCCAAATATTTTATTAAATTTATCGTCAGTACTATGATCCAGAGATTATTTTCTAGTGCTGTGTTTGCGACATTTCTCCCGTCGATGTGCGATTTTATTTGCGGTTACGAAATCGATGGCATGAGTTCGCTATTGTCTCTCTATTTTGACATATGACACCATAATTTATTTCTTTTTGCTTCTCTTTTATCGCGTTACGTTTTGACGAATGCGAATTTTTCGTTTAAATTCGCTCGCTAGGGTACTAAACTAAAGCATCCGTAATTTTTAGAGGCACCTTCGAGTGCTCGGCATATCCACCTGACACGAAAAGTTTCTAAAGTACTTCGGTCCATCACATGCAGCGTATATACACTTATATGCACACGCACATGTACACACATAGTGAAGAAAAAGATTCGCAGCGGGAAGGGAATCTAAGAAAATATTTCGACGTAACCCGATTTTTACTCCAACTTTTACGTTATATATCTACGTACACATAACCGTCTATGTCTATATATCACCAGATAACTTCGCGATATCGCGAATTTATCAGGGCATCTTGAGTACTCGGAAGTCTTGCCGGAATCTACGTCGACTCTTATCATTGATTATGTCGCTCCGAATGACCTCAAGTTTGTCCACTGGCTCTCAGAGCACGGAAAGCGAAAACGCGAAAAATCCGTGAAAAGAGAAAGAAGCGCGATGCAGCGAGAAAGTGGCATAGACAGCAACATATCTTGTCCGCGTGCTTTCAGCGCCCTTTCACCTATACGAATCACGTTGATGGACACGTTAATCGGCGGTATCTCACGGAGAATGCAGTATAAGGATCGCTCCTACTATTGAGGTGCAGAAAATCGATGTTTTAAACACTAAAAACGTCAATTATGTTATTACAGCCACAGGGATAGTTAAACATGACATTACCTGTAAATCAATAGCAAGTGCGGTTAACAATTTCCGGGTATCCCTCGTAACAATAACTTCACAATACCTAACAACTCATAAATTGACGAACAATTGAAATACCAGCTTTTACCTGCGAGAGAAACTTCAATAAGATTAACGTAATATAAATTTGTTAAATTATTTCTTTTAGTCCTATTATATATAATATAATACAGTCACGGAACTAATTATCCAGATAGTGTGCCATCATATCGATAATTTTTTCAAATTGTTGTCCGTTAAAAATTATGTTTTTATGTAAGCATTACGGCACTGATAGTTTATATTTATATTTGAATAACTGCGAAATCAGTGCCGTAATGCGTATATGGAGCACACACACACTTTTTAACATCCGGAAAATTGTTTAAAAAAATCATCGATGTAATAATAGTGCACTGTCCGGATAATTAGTTTTGTATAACTGTACATGTACTTTATGATTACGTTTGCGTCTATATATTTATATTAATTCAAAATGAAAAAATTATTGGACAAAATTGAAACAAAAGTCATTATTTCTCGTGACGTGAAATAAGTTCTATATGATTGTTAAATATGCCGATAACGTTTAATTATTCGCTATTGAAACATGTCGTGTCTCGTACCAATCAAACTATCACGTTCGTAGTAGCAACAATTAGTAATTACGCGCGTGTTGAAGCATTTACTATCGTAATTGGTTTAATAGTTCATCATTGCGGTAGTAACATCATACGCAAACATTAATACTGTCATATTTAGATAAGTAATAATAGTTTGTTAAATATCTATTAGAAAAGCATCTTTTTTACAATTTTTAAATTTATCGAGTATTAGGTCTAATATATTAAATCAAATGTGATCCATTAAACTTTATATTGAACTTTTCATTATAAAGCAAAAATGGTAGCTCTATAAAAATACACAGTAAAAGAAATATTTAATATTTATGTTGAAAACGATCCATTCGAGTCCTCATTAAAATTTTGTATTGAATTTTTAATACAATCGAGTATTAATTTAACATGATGTAAATATTTAAATATTTTATGTTAAATTGATTCAACATTTCTTAATGTCGAAGTAACACAATTTATAAGTAAGTGAACAAATAACATAAAAATAATGTTTTAAATGTAAACTTTAAAATTAATGAATAAAATACGTGTTAATTTAACATATCATAAATATTAATTTTACTAAAAAAATGTGCTTCCACAGTTTATTTGCAAATTGTGTCAATACTACCTTTTATATATTCATTCTTCTTACATAATATTTATGTTGCTTTCTAACATATTCATCTTATATTAAATTAACATAAAAATTTGAATAAATCGTTTAGGACATGTGAAATGTATTAAATCTAATACAATTTTCCAACTATATATTCATGCCTCTTTATTTTTCGAGAGTTTTCAGTGGAAAGAGATACTTGTTGAAAAGAAAGTAACCCGTTGCGCTTTTGGCCCCATTTCCATCCATACACGAGGCACAGCGACGATCATCTTGAATGATCGACCAAGTCTCGCTTAGGCGAAGGATAGATCGTAAGATCCGTTCTACGATTATTGTCTTTCTCTTCTTTCCTCGCACGGGAACATGCGCTCCTCTCTGTCGTGGCCGACCATGCCGTCCTCGGCCTCCTCGAGTTTCTCAAGGACGCCGGATCTTTGGCGGTGGCTTCTTCTCTGGGAAAGCCCAGCGGGCGGCTCGAGTCCGGCGTGCATCTAAGTACCGGTCGTATCGAAAAATGGCTTAAGCACCAGTCATGTACACGTCGCCCGGTGCCGATGTGCGCGGTTTCTCGCGTATATACGCGCGTGTTTCACTGTCATTACTTTCACCCTGGCCTGAACGTAGACAGCGTTCATCCGTGGTCATCGTCATCTTTCGTCGTTGTCTTCCGTCTCTCCCGGCCTCTTCGTCTTCATTCTTCTAGCAGGTCGTCATCGTCGTCCGGTTGTTTTCGACGACTTCGTCTTCGTTTTCGCCTTCGTCTTCGTCTTCGTAACGATCATCGTTCGCGGTCGCTGCGGTGCGCTACATCGCACGAAGGTAGATCGTATAATTCGTACGTTGCGCTCGCTCAGGAATCTTCGAGACTAACTTAATAAGCGTCTCGCCCTTTCACCCTCTTTTCTCCATTCGTGTAATCTTATGGCACTCCGTAAGAAGCTATACGATTCCGTAGGTATTTAATGCACGTGCTCTCTGAGTGCGCACATTTGCGCGATGCGAGTAGGCGCTGCCTGTCGCGGTGCGAGCTATGAAATTTAGATGTTATGCGAAACGCGCGAGTATGCGAATTAAGGTAATAGTCGCGGAAGCCGACTAGTTCGTTTCCACGATATCTTCTGTACTAGTAAATCCGTGGTAAATGTTACGACGATTTTACGAACATTATTTTCACAAGGAATAGTTATATACACTCTTCTTGTAAAGAAACTTTGCGTATAATACTACGTATAAAGTAATATATAAAGAAAATATTATTATATGAATTTTTATAAATTTCCATTCCTTCATATAAAGTAATAAATATATAAAGGAAATTTAGTCGCTTGTATTACTTTTCTTTTATTTTAATGTTATTTTGAACTCCTCTATATTCTTTATACTAATCTAACATTAGTTCGTCTTACGTGACATACATAAGCTATTTAAAAATATCGTTTTTATGCGTTCTAATAAACGCATGTAAACCGCTGTAGCTGTTCGTTTCGTACCAATCGAGGAGCTATTCGGCATAACTTCCTTTCTGCGAGCACTTAGACTCGAATGCGCAATATTGCCCGATAAGCTTACACGCCCGTTCGTGTTCTAATTTGCAATCAACCGGCAGAATCCGCCGGTACACACGTCGGAAGGCGGGAATTTACTGCGCGATCCCCAGCGAATAAATAGTGCAGCGCGATTATAGCAGAACAGGTAATTAGGAAAACAGGGAAGGATCAGGTTACCGAGATAAGTTCTGAGGTTTGAAATTAAAGTGCAGTTTCCTCAAACTATAATTCCGATTCGGCATATTATGGAATCAGTGACCTCATTATATTCGTATTCGGAACTTTTCAGAAAAATGTATAAAAGTCGCCAGATATTTTCCGCTCATTTTATCTCTTCTATTTTATTGCGATTACTACTTATTGGATTTTAAAGTAGGTAAAAATATTATTCAGAAGTTATGAATAGTAAGTAATTAATCGAGTATACTGTTAAAATATACCTCATAAATTTATCATCTTATCGTTTGGGTCTCCAAATATTAATATAAGTTTAATTACACTTTTAGAATTATGGCCAACTCAATTATAGAAGTTTTCCTTACACCTGTCCAAAGTGTCGGCACAACCATTAAATGCCATGCGTGCTACAATTGAGCGATGGCATGATTTGTGTAGCTTGTTATTAATAAATCAATGCGCAGCAGGATATAGTAATATAAGTTATTATTCCCGTCAGTGATAACTGACAAGTAACAACATCTCGTAAAGATTACTGCGCCGTATATCAGTCACGCATGCATTTATAGCGATTTCGCTCCGTATTTTACGACAGGTTATTACGGATGGTTATAAGAGCGTTACTGAAACACCTAAGAAAGTGGTCCGATTAATATATATCATGCGTTTTTGCAATTGCACCGCACAATATTCCTTTAGTGCCTCAAGTATATTCCCGTAACTTGGGCAAAGTGTCACGCGCCCATCGCGTATTCCGGATCTTTTCCTCCGCGACTTCCGTGCGGCAATTCTATTCCCGCACAAGCTCACATCCGCCGTAGGAATGGCGCAGAGTTTTCACGCGTCCGTCTTCCCGAGTTCTCGCAACTCATCCCAAAGTTCATCGTGTAAACGTTAGTTCCCTCGCAAGCCCTATATCGTGGATAGAACAGATGCGTAATGAAAATTCAGCGCCGTCCCCGGGCTGGTAAAAGTAAGTGGTGCGGAAGGATGGAAGTAAACACATCAAGTGAAAAGAATTAGATTACTCCCCGCTTCGTCTCTTCTCATTCACTCGTGTATGCATATACGTTATATCGTTATACGCAGCTTCAAGAGGAGCCAATCGTTTCATCATCCCATGATGAGGATGAGGATTAGGCTCGGTTTCATTGTCACTCAGTGTAACGGAGCGTCTGCAAAAGATCACTTGTCTCGTGGTACTCTTCTTAACTTGATTTCGTTTCCACGGCAATGATCGGTCGGTCCGGCATGATATTATATCATTTATCTTCGTCTCTTGTCTTCGGAAGCCGGCCGGTACCGAAGTCTTTATCTGTTTTTCCCATTTCAACCGTTCTTCGCGCATCGGTGCCAGCCTGGGTCGGTGGTTGGTACGGATATTCCCGTCGATTCTCATCCCCGACCCCCACCTATTTCCTTCCTCTCTCTTCTCGACTCCTCTAACCGAACGGCATCCGTCGATAGTTCTTTTTTCTTTGCCACGTAGCATTTCGCCACCAATGAGCAGTCGTTGATAAAAGCTTTCTGTCAAATCTGACGTATAGATTTTTACTGCGATCGCAAGTAGCAATCAAAATGAGCTGTATTGTTTTTTTAAAAGATATAAATAAAAGATAACCTTCAGTTTTTGCTATCATGTTCCATCTAAATCAAATACTCGTGTATAGGTCTTTTCTTATTATTCTTAAATTAGATTATATTTTGCTTTCATATTTGCTCATGTTCATCATCTGCAGAAATGTATGTGTGAATGTATGTGAGTGTCTACAGTATGTTGAGCTCGGGTCTGTAGACTCGCTAAATCCAAATGACTGTGTAGATCAGTCATCCCTGCGGGAATGATCCGGATTAAATATTTCAATTCAGGGAGAGATATCTCTTGCGTGAAAACGAATCACAATGACAATTAATATCAACTATATTAATTGATTTAAATTAACGGGGAATCAT